CCCCCAGGAGGTACTACCGTCCTGCCAAGTGAGTGTAAAACGAAAGCCTGTAATTGTTTTACATGATTCAAATTCAAATTCAAAGTTATTCTCTATAAGATTACAATGCTGAGTTTACAGAAATTTGGGTTATTGTTTGGTTTACATGTAGTTAAAATTGTGATTACAGAGTGTACCACTAGAACGCTTAGCATGGCTAGGCATTTTGGGCATACGTACTTAGTTTTAATTTTTAATTGTAAATATTACAAATTATGAGGTAATTGGTATTATGGCTAAGTGACTAAATACTAGTTTGTGAGTTTAGCAATGTGAATGCTTTTGTTTTTGGGACAGTAAAAATAGTTTCAGTATTGGAGTACACAGATTCATTATTTTAAGACTGAATTAATATTTCTGTTTATGGTCAAATGAGTGAGCGAGTGTAAGTGTGAACCCCCAGGTGGTATTCGTGTAGTTAGTTGACGGGTGTATCAGGGAGATAAAATGTTTCTAATGGTAGTTTTGAGGTGATGAATGTGTCTGCAGTTCTAGAGTTCTCAGGTAGGGTATCCAGATTTTAGGCCTTTGACATACATTGAATTTTGTAAAGGTTTAGTCGGACACGGGGAATGTCGTAGAGATGTTTGTTTCTGGTGTTATGCTGTGGGTTCTGTCACAACTATCAAGAAAGCGTTTTAGGTCAAGGTTGATATTAGAGTTTAAGGCCCTGTAGATATAGATTGCACAGTAGTAAGTGTGGATGTACTGAACTGGGAGTAAGTTTAGATCTTTGAAGAGTGGGGGGTGTGCTGCCAGGGATGGGATTTAGTGATTATTCTTACTGCAGCTTTTTGTTGGGTTATTATTGCTTTAGGTGTGTTGCTGCAGTTGATCCCCAAGCACAATAGCATAGGTGAGGTATGGATAAATAAGTGAGTGGTATAGTGTGAGAAGGGCATTTTGCGGCACGTAGTATCGTATCTTGGAGAGGATCCCAACCGTTTTGATACTTTTTTGACTATATGCTGGATATGGGTGCTGAAATTCAGGTTGTCAAGGTATAAGCCTAGGAATTTTCCCCCATTATTTCTGGTAATTAGAGTGTTGTCAATCTTAATGTTAATTTGTGCATCTCCTGCTCTGGTACCAAACATAATATGTAAGTTTTGTCAGTGTTAAGCGTAAGTTTATTGGCTGTCATCCAAGTCGATATTTTAATCAGCTCCTCATTCACAATGGTGTTGATGGTAGAATTGCTGGTGTCTTTTGTCTGTCTCATAAATATGCAAGATTACAGGTATGTCTTGCTACTTCTGCTTACACTTAGGTCATACTACACATACATGTACACGTTTATTTATACACTCATCTGAGTTTTCTTTGATTTTATCTTAATAGTTCTTGGTCTTATTACTTTTCCTTTTTTCCATGGGGGAGTGGAATAAGAATCTTTCCTCCGTAAGCCATTCGTGTTGTAAAAGTCAACTAAAATGCCGGGAACAATGAGCTAGTAACCCCTTTTCCTGTAAAGATTACTAAAAGATAAGAAGAAGAAATTGTCAAAGTGGGAAGTCTGACTGTGCGTGATGTTGTGCAAATGATAAGAAAGAGATGATTGTGGATGCTATGAATGAGAAGAAGCTGGATGTCCTGGCTTTAAGTGAAACAAAGCTGAAGGGGGTGGGAGAGTTTCAGTGGAGAGGAATAAATGGGATTAGGTCAGGGGTTTCAAATAGAGTTAGAGCTAAAGAAGGAGTAGCAATAATGTTGAAGGATAAGATATGGCAGGAAAAGAGGGACTATAAATGTATTAATTCAAGGATTATGTGGAGTAAAATAAAGGTTGGATGTGAAAAGTGGGTTATAGTAAGCGTATATGCACCTGGAGAAGAGAGAAGTGCAGAGGAGAGAGAGAGAGATTTTGGGAAATGTTGAGTGAATGCGTGGGAGTTTGAACCAAGTGTGAGAGTACTTGTAGTTGGGGATTTCAATGCTAAAGTGGGTAAAAATGTTTGGAGGGAGTAGTAGGTAAATTTGGGGTGCCAGGGGTAAATGTAATGGGGAGCCTTTAATTGAGCTATGTGTAGAAAGAGATTTGGTAAAAAGTAATACATATTTTATGAAAAAAGAGGATAAATAAATATACAAGGTATGATGTAGCACGTATGAAAGTAGTTTATTATATTATGTATTGGTGGATAAATGTGATGGGTTAGGCTCCAGGATGTACACGTTTATAAAAGGGGCAACTGATATATCGGATCATTATCTAGTTGTAGCTACGTTAGAGCAAGTGGTAGATGGGACAAGAGGAAGGTGGCAACAACAAGTAGGAAGGAAGTGAAAGTGTATAAACTAAAGGAGGAGGAAGTTCGGGTGAGATATAAGCGACTATTGGGCAGAAAGGTGGCTAGTGCAAAGATGAGTAGGGGGGGGGGGGTTGAAGAGGGTTGGATGAGTTTTTAAAAATGCAGTTTAGAATGTGGGGCAGAAGTTGTGGTTATAGGAGGGTGGGGCAGGAGGAAAGAGGAGTGATTAGTGGAATGATGAAGTAAAGGGTGTGATAAAAGGGAAAAAGTTAGCTTATGAGAGGTTTTTACAAAGCAGAAGTGTTATAAGAAGAGCAGAGTATATAAAGAGTAAAAGAAAAGGTGAAGAGAGTGGTGAGAGAGTGCAAAAGGAGAGCAGATGATAGAGTGGGAGAGGCCTGTCAAGAAATTTTAATGAAAATAAGAAAAAATTTTGGAGTTAAAAAATTTTTAAAGAAAAGCCTAGGGAACGTATGATTTGTCAGTTAAAGACAGAGTGGGGAGTTAGTAAGGGGAGGGGAGGTATTAGGTAGATGGCGAGAATATTTTGAGGAACTTTTAAATGTGAGGAAGAAAGGGAGGGGTGTTTCATGCACTGGTCAGGGGGTATACCATCTTTTGGAGTGAAGAAGAGCAGAATGTAAGTGTGGGAGGGGTACATGAGGCATTACGTAAATGAAAGGGGTAAAGCAGCTGGAACTGATGGGATCATGACAGAAATGTTAAAAGCAGGGGGGATTAGTGTTGGAGTGGTTGGTACTTTTGTTTAATAAATGTATGAAAGAGGGGAAGGTACCTAGGGATTGGAGGAGAGCATGTATAGTCCCTTTATATAAAGGGAAGGGGGACAAAGAGATTGTAAAAATTATAGAGGAATAAGTTTTTCTGAGTATCCAGGAAAAGTGTACGGTAGGGTTTATTATTGAAAGAATTAGAGGTAAGACAGAAAGTAGGATTGCGGATGAGCAAGGAGGTTTCAGATGGGTAGGGGATGTTAGATCAAGTGTTACATTGAAGCATATATGTGAACAGTATTTAGTAAAGGTAGGGAAGTTTTTATTGCATTTATGGATTTAGAAAGGCATATGATAGAGTGGATAGGGGAGCAATATGGCAGATGTTGCAAGTATATGGGAAAAGGTGGGAAGTTACTAAATGCGTAAAGAGTTTTTATGAGGATAGTGAGGTCAGGTTAGGGTGTGTAAAAAGAGAGGGAACTACTTCCCCGGTAAAAATAGGTCTTAGACAGGGTTGTGTAATGTCACCATGGTTGTTTAATATATTTATAGATGGGGTTGTAAAAGAAGTAAATGCTAGGTGTTTGGAAGAGGGGTGGGTTAAATTATGGGGAATCAAATACAAAATGGGAATTGACACAGTTACTTTTTGTGTGATACTGTGCTTATGGGAGATTCTAAAGAAAATTTTCATAGGTTAAATGGATGAGTTTGGAGTGGGGTGTAAAAGGGAGAAAGTTGAAAGTGAACATAGAAAAGAGTAAGGTGATGAGGGTATCAAATGACTTAGATAAAGAAAAAATTTGGGTATCAAAATTTGGGGGGGAGGAGTATGGAAGAAGTGAAGTTTTCAGATACTTGGGAGTTGACGTGTCGGGGGATGGATTTTGAAGGATGAGGTTAATCATAGAATTGATGAGGGAAAAAAGGTGAGTGGGGGCATTGAGGTATATGTGGAGTCAAAAAACGTTATCTATGGAGGCAAAGAAGGGAATGTATGAAAGTATAGTAGTACCAACACTCTTATATGGGTGTGAAGCTTGGTGTGAATGCAGCAGCGAGGAGGTGGTTGGAGGCAGTAGAGATGTCCCGTCTAAGGGCAAGTGTGGTGTAAATGTTATGCAGAAAATTCGGAGTGTGGAAATTAGGAGAAGGTGTGGAGTTAAAAAAGTATTAGTCGAGGGCTGAAGAGGGGTTGTTGAGGTGGTTTGGTCATTTAGAGAGAATGGATCAAAGTAGAATGACATGGAGAGCATTTAAATCTGTAGGAGAAGGAAGGCGGGGTAGGGGTCATCCTCGAAAAGGTTGGAAGGAAGGGGTAAGATAGGTTTTTTGGGTGAGGGGCTTGGACTTCCAGCAGGCGTGCATGAGCGTGTTCGATAGGAGTGAATGGAGACGAATGATATTTGGGACCTGACGATCTGTTGGAGTGTGAGCAGGGTAATATTTAGTGAAGGGATTCAGGGAAACCAGCTATTTTTATATAGCCGGACTTGTATCCTGGATACAAGTCCAGGATATTAGCAGTGTGGAGGGATATGTTGTGTATCTTTATACGTATATGCTTCTAAACTGTTGTATTCTGAGCACCTCTGCAAAAACAGTGATTATGTGTGAGTGAGGTGAAAGTGTTGAATGATGATGAAAGTATTTTCGTTTTGGGGATTTTCTTTCTTTTTGGGTCACCCTGCCTCGGTGAGAGACGGCCTACTTATTGGAAAAAAAAATATTAAATATAAAATAAACTTGTATATATCAAAATATTCAGCAGTGTCATAGAGTGTATTATGGTTTATTGGAATATTGAAAATGCTTCAGTAATACAACAATTATGAATGCACTTCTTTTGACTAATCAGAAAATTTGTTTCCCTTTTTGTTAGATTTTTAATAAGTACAATAATTAATCTATCTTAAATAGAAAAAAACCCAGCAGAGATTACACATTACATGAACTGTGCTTGACCTTGCAGCCCATGTCCCATCTGTGGAGACAAAATCTCAGGCTTCCACTATGGTATCTTCTCGTGTGAGTCATGTAAAGGATTCTTCAAAAGGACAGTGCAAAACAAGAAAAATTACGTCTGCATGCGGGGTGCTTCTTGTCCAGTCACGACCAGCACTCGAAAGAAGTGTCCGGCCTGTAGATTTGACAAGTGCCTCTGTATGGGTATGAAACTAGAAGGTAAGAATAAGAATTTAGTAATGCCTATAAATGTTAATATTATCATTGTAATAATCATCTTCAATACATATTATAATCATGGTCATGATAAAGTATCAGTGCACTACAAGTAAAATTATTATTATTATTATTATTATTATTATTATCATTATTATTATTATTGTTATTATTATTATTATCATCATCATAATCTTAGGGAAAGTGCTAATCCCATAAGGGTTACAGAGTGCTTGGGGAGTGAGAATAATCAGTTTTGATACAAGGGGAGCATAGCTCCAATTCCTTGGATCAAGAGTCCTTTGCCAGTATTAAGGTACCCACATTGAAGGGACTGCAAGAATAATGACTTTTTCATATGCTTCCACAACTTTTTTTTTTTTAAGTTTGTGTTATGTATTCATCTGGTGTTATTCTTATTCTATCTCTTAAGAGTTAGTCAAAGGTCTACAAAGTCTAACAGTATATAATGCATATATTGTATTCATGTATTAGTTATGTAAAAGTTTGATAAGTTCAATCTAAACTTAAATTTTAATAGTGCATATTTTTGCCAGCCATTCGTGAAGACCGTACACGTGGTGGGCGAAGTACATATCAGTGTGCGCCTTACCCTCTCCCACCTACGTTAGTGACACCTACCACCTCTGCACATCATTTTGACCCCCAGAGGCTTCCTGATGCAACTGCAGTAAAAGCTGAACCTTCTGACAGCGATGAAATTAAACCCTCACCATCTGATGAGAAGAGACCAATACCTCTACTTTTGCAGGTAAAGCATTAGCAACGACTTGGAGGTGACTATTTTCTTGTCACAGGAGTGTTGCACTTTGATTGAATTGCTAATTATGTCTTTCTGTATCTTGCATCAAGAAACACTTGTCCTGTTTTTTGACAAATCTTACCTAACCTAACCCTGCCTCATGAACACGCAAGGTAACAGATAATCTTACTAACATCTACATACTCATATTTGGTAATAATTATAATAATAATGTTTATTTCTACAAGTACATGTTCAATATATACAGGCCTACAGACCTCAGTTTGTGAGCTGAGTGTACTAACTATCAAGCAATTGATTCTCTTTGTGTTTCTTGGTAATGCCAGTTTATTTACATTAAAGATATTATAAAATAATGTTAAATAATTAGCTTAACCAATAAAGTGGCCCGATGTTAAAGCAAAATACTTACACAACAGGACAGATCGATTTGCTGACTTTTTTGGACATTATCGACAGTTATTTACACATTGTTAACTGTTGACTACAGCAATATGGTACCTGATCGTAAATAACTCGACTTAAAGGGTTCCTGTTTGGGCACAAGAAATATTTAAGAAGATAAAAATGGGCAATACAAATACTTTTCCAAAAATTAGAATCTATAACATTTTTTTACTAACTGTTACAACCCGTGGGCAACCTCAGTAAAACTCTAAGTAATACTAACATTACCCATCGACCTTCTGTTAAATAACAAAATACTTAAAAGAACAAAAAAAAAAAACAAACTATTTTTGGTAACTATGTTTCAGGAATATGTTAAATAATGATGTAATTGTATTTATGTGTACCTATTCCTAAATAAACCTACTTAAAAAGTTCCCTGTTTTAGAAAGATGAGCACAGAAATATTTGAAGATAAGATAAAAATGGGCAAATACAAATACTTTATTTCCAAAATATTATGTACAATTATTAAACATTTTTTTAATAACCTTTAGCATAAACAGCATTTTGGGCAGACTTAAACTACTTACAGGTATTACTAAAACAATTACTAGATGGGAGCTGTTTTGACTTATAATTAGAGCAAATGGTATTGACAGGCAGACAAAAAAAAAAAAAAAAAAAAAATTCTGGTAACTATGTACAGGCAAGATGATTCAAGTTTATAATACTGTGTTATTTAGTTGTGTACAAGTGATTGGATGGGCAGGATAATAATTATGATACAAACAGAATAAAAAAGTAATAATACTTGTATAATAAAATTTAAAGATATAGTAGACAGTTTAACTTGAATAACAAGTTAATGTCTTGATGGTGACCCAGTTGACAGCATGGTAATGTTCTGTACTTGATTTATACTGTACTTGATGTATACTCTAGTCAATCTGTACTGCAGCCAATTTATAATGTAGCAAAGTTATACTGTAGCCAGTTTATGCTATAGCTGATTTATACTGTAGTTGATTTATTCTGTAGTTGATTTATAATGTAGCTGGTTTATACTGTAGTCAATTTATGCTGTAGATGATTTATACTGTAGTTGATTTAAGTAGATTTAATTAATGAAAAATTTCATATATGTTTTAGAGAAAACTGTTAGTGGTGAGAAATGGTCAGTGTGTTTTTAATTTCCCTAATAACAGTTATGTTTTTTAGTGTAAAAGTTTATTAATGATTTGTGCAAGCAAATTAACTGTATTGATACATCATTTCAGCAAATCCACGATGTAGAGCACTTATGGCACTGTAGTGAAAGTGAAATGGCAGAGTTACGACAGTCTGAGCAGGCAGCTCGCCAGGCAATGGAGAATAATTCGCCAGACTTTCTAAATAACTTGTGCCACATTGCAGACCACCGACTCTACAAGATTGTCAAGTGGTGCAAATCTCTTCCACTTTTCAGGCACATTACAGTAAGTTAATCATGTATGGACGTGATCATGAAATCATCCAGCCATCAGAATTTTTGTTTTATACGTTTTCACCACCTTCATTTTCGACCATTCCTTCAACCCCCTGATATTTTTACTCTGTCAGCCTCCTCTCTGAATATCCCACCTTTAATACACATTCTTTCTATGATTTCTAGATTAATTTGATTTGCTACACTGGCTTTGACTTTTCTTTTGCCTTTGATCTTCTCTCATTACTTCTATCCCTCTACCATTTTCCCCCTCACTTTATTGTCATACGAGAATATTTCTTTTAACCTTAAACTTTTTGAGCAATAAATATGCATTAGAAAATCAAAATGATGTAACCTATGTATTGAGAATAAAAGTCACAAGCATAGAATAGAGATAAAAACAAGATGACTGACTCCACTTTTCATTTCTAATTTGTAGGATTGTTGCATATTATGTATTCCTATATTCTCTTAATGTTGCTCCAAGGCACAATAGCTTATTGTCTAATACCGTCATAAGAGCTACTCTATTTTGCTATTACGAATTCAGTTCACAGCTAACCCAGAAACAACATAATAATTAGATATTTTGGTCCATCCTAGATCATTACAGTATCTTAATCAATTTAATGTAGGTCCAGGGGAAACCATAACATCTAGTTTTCGTATGTAACTTCTGGGCTGTGAATTTTGTGAGCTATGGTGTTGTGACCATGATTCTTTATATATTTAGTTCTTTTCTCATTTTATAAATGTCTACAGATTGATGACCAAATCTGCTTGCTGATCAACTCCTGGTGTGAGCTGCTTCTCTTGTCTTGTTGCTTCCGTTCTATGGATTCACCAGGTGAAATCAGAGTTAGCTCAGGTCGCACCATGACCTTACAACAAGCAGAAGTCATGGGTATAGGACCATGTATTGAGCGTATGCTCAATTTAACCTACCAGCTGAGCCGCCTTCAGGTTGACAAGTACGAGTACATGGCCATGAAGGTTATTGTTCTCCTGTCGTCAGGTGAGGCACTAATAATACCTATTTTAAACAGCTATAATGCTGGATGCATTCATTAACGAAAAATAAATTAAAACTTTAGGATACTTCGACCGATAAAGTTGCTCTCGATTTGACCTGACTTTGTCATATGGCAAAGTTCAGTTCCTAGGTGAGGTGTAAGCCTTCAATTGCTAATTTGCGTCACTGTGCAACTTGAAAATATGATTTGATTGATACATCATGAAAGCAGTTTGAATCTATTTTTCTTTGTGATTAAATTTCATATTAAGGTATCATGTGTTTTTTTAGGATAATTTGAACATAATAATCCTACTCGTAAGTCCAGAATTGCAGACATAATTATTTCAAATTACAAGTAACACGTGTAAAGACACAGTTCAATCACTGAAAGAATATGCATATTCATATTTTTCAAAAAGTTGGTATAAGCAATACACCAATCCAATACTATACATTTTCCCACAAGGAGATGGCCCAAGTGCTGCATATATATATATATATATTCTTTCTTTCAACACACTGGCTATATCCCACCGAGGTGGGGTGGCTCAAAAGGAAAAACAAAAGTTTCTCCTTTTACATTTAGTAATATATACAGGAGAAGGGGTTACTAGCCCCTTGCTCCCAGCATTTTAGTCGCCTCTTACAACATGCATGGCTTACATAGGAAGAATTCTCTTCCACTTCCCCATGGAGATAAGAGGAAATAAACAAGAATAAGAACTAGAAAGAAAATAGAAGAAAACCCAGAGGGGTGTGTATACATGTATACAGTGGACCCCTGGTTAACGATATTTTTTCATTCCAGAAGTATGTTCAGGTACCAGTACTGACCGAATTTGTTCCCATAAGGAATATTGTGAAGTAGATTAGTCCATTTCAGACCCCCAAACATACATGTACAAACTTTCTTTCTTCTTTCAACGTACCAGCCGTATCCCACTGAGGTGGGGTGGCCCAAAAGAAAAAACAAGTTTCTCTTTTTAAATTTAGTAATATATACAGGAGAAGGGGTTACTAGCCCCTTGCTCCCGGCATTTTAGTTGCCTCTTACAACACGCATGGCTTACGGAGGAAGAATTCTGTTCCACTTCCCCATGGAGGTAAGAGGAAATAAACAAGAACAAGAACTAGAAAGAAAATAGAAGAAAGCCCAGAGGGGTGTATATGATTGTACATGTATGTGTAGTGTGACCTAAATGCACGTAAAAGTAGCAAGACATACCTGAAATCTTGCATGTTTATGAGACAGACAAAAGACACCACCAATCCTACCATCATATAAAACAATTACAGGCTTTCGTTGTACACTCACTTGGCAGGATGGTAGTACCTCCCTGGGCGGTTGCTGTTTACCAACCTACTACCTAGAACACGTACAAACGCTTTTACATAAATACACTTACATAATTGGTCGCATTGGGAGGTGATCGTTTAGCGGACCGGAGGCGGGAGGTGGGGCGGTCGCGGGGAGGGGGTGGGGGGGTGAGGGGCGGGGTGGGCGGGGCGGTGGGCGGAGGCGGGGTTGCGGGGGTGGGGGGGTGAGGGGGAGACGCGGGGGAGGGCGAGGGGGATCCGGGGGGGGGGGGGGGAGGGGGGGGGGGGGCGGGGGGGTCACTGTAGAAGCTGGTTATGTATGTGTAGTAGTGACCTAGTGTAAGTAGAAAGTAGCATGATGTACCTGAAATCTTGCATGTGTATGAGACAGAATAAAGACACCAGGAATCCTACCATCATGTAAAACAATTACAGGCTTCCATTGTTACACTCAGTGGCACGACGTTAGTACCTCCATGGGGTGGGTGCTGTCTACACAACCTACTACCTGGATATATATATATATATTATATATATATATAAATATATATATATATATATATATATATATATATATATATTAATATATCTTTCTTTCTTTCAACACATCGGTGTATCCACAGGCAGGGTGGCACAAAAGGAAAAACAAAAGTTTCTCCTTTCACATTTGTAATATATACAGGGAAGGGGTTACTAGCCCCTTTGATCCTGGCATTTTTAGTCGCTTCTTACAACACCGCATAGCTTACGGAGAGAAGAATTCTGTTCCACTCCCCATGGAGATAAGAGAAATAAACAAGAACCAGAGCTAGTAAGAAAAAGGAGAAGAAAAAAAAATAAAAAAAAATAGAAGAAACCCAGTGGGTGTGTGTATAATAGCGCTACTGTACATGTATGTGTTGTGTGACCTAAGTGTAAGGTAGATGTAGCAAGACATACCTGAAACTTGGCATGTTTATGGAAGACAGAAAAATGGGACAGCAGCAATCATACCATCATGTAAAACAATACAGGTTTCGTTTTACACTCACTTGGCAGGACGGTGTACCTCCCCTGGGTGAGAAGTGCTGTCTACCAACCTACTACCTGGTATTTATATAATAGGAGGGTGGGTGCAGGAGGAAAGAGGAGTGATTGGTGGAATGATGAGTAAAGGGTGTGTGAAAGGGGGAAAAAGGTAGTTAGAGTGGTTTTTACATAAGCAGAAGTGTTCTATAAGAAGAGCAGATATTTGGAGAGTAAAAGAAAGTTAAAGAGAGTGGTGAGGAGAGTGCAAAAGGAGAGCAGATGATAGATGTGGGAGAGCACTGTCAAGAAATTTTATGAAAATAAGAAAAAATTTTGGCAGTGAGTTAAACAAGTAAGTAAGCCAAGGAAAATATGGATTTGTCAGTTAAAAAACGTAGTAGGGGAGTTAGTAGAATGGGTGCTGGAGGTATTAGGTAGATGGCGAGAATATTTGAGGAACTTTTAAATGTTAGGAAGAAACAGAGGCAGTAATGTCATGCATGGTCAGGGAGGTATTACCAAATCCCTTTTTTAGGAGTTGTAGAAGAGCTAGAATGTAAAGTGTGGGGGAGTACGTGAGGCATTACGAAAATGAAGGGGGTAATTAAAGCAGCTGGTACTGATGGGATCATGACAGAAATGTTAAATAAATGCAGGGGGGGATATAGTGTTGGAGTGTTGGTACTTTGTTCAATTAAATGTATGAAAAGAGGGGATGGTACCTAGGGATTGGCGGGAGAATGTATAGTCCCTTTATATAAAGGGAGATAGGGGAGACAAAAGAGACGGTAAAACTTATGAGGAATAAGCTTACTGAGTATACCAGGAAAAAGTGTACGGTAGGGTTATAATTGAATAAATAAGAATTAGAGGTAGACAGAATGAGGATATGCAGTATGAGCAAGGAGGTCTTCAGAGTGGGTAGGGGATGTGTAGATCATGTGTTTACATTGAGCATATAATGTGAACAGTATTTTAGATAAAGGGTGGGGAAGTATTTATTGCATTTATGGATTTAGAAAGGGCATATGTAGAGTGGATAGAGGAAAGCCAATTGTGCAGATGTTGGCAAGTATATGGAATAGGTAGGTAAGTTATTAAATGCTTGTTAAGAGTTTTTATGAAGATAGTGAGGTCAGGTTAGGGTGGGTAGAAGAGAGGGAGGAGACTATTTCCGGGTAAAAGTAGGTCTTAGACAGGGAAGTGGTATGTCACCTGGTTGTTTAATATATTTATAGAGGGGTTGTTAACTTAAGGAAGGTAATGCTAGGGTGTTTGGAGGGGTGGGGGTGGGATTAAATGATGGGGAATCAAATTCAAAATGGGAATTGACACAGTTACTTTTTGCTGTTGATACTGTGCTATGGAGATTCTAAAGAAAAATTGCATAGGTTAGTGGATGAGTTTGGGAAGGTGTGTAAAGGTAGAAAGTTGAAAGTGAACATAGAAAAAGAGTAAAGTGATTGAGGGTGTCAAATGATTTTGATAAGAAAAATTGGATAATCAAATTGGGGAGGAGGGAGTATGGAAGGAAGTGAATGTTTTTCAGATACTTGGGAGAGTGGACGTGTCGGCGGATGGATTATGAAGGATGAGGTTAATCATAGAATTGATGAGGGAAAAAGGTTAAGTGGTGCGTTGAGGTATATGTGAGTCAAAAAACGTTATCTATGGAGGCAAAGAAGGGAATGTATGAAGTATAGTAGTACCAACACTCTTATATGTGTGTGATGCTTGGTTGGTAAATGCAGCAGCGAGGGACGGTGGAGGCAGTGGAGATGTCCTGTTTTAAGGGCAATGTGTGGTGTAAATATTATGCAGAAAATTCGGAGTGTAGGAAATTAGGAGATAGGTGTGGAGTTAATAAAAGTATTTTGTCTGAGGGCTGTGAAGCAGAAGAGGCGGTTGTTGAGGTGGTGTTTGGGTCATTTAGAGAGAATGGATCATGTAGAATGACATGGAAAAAGCATATAAATCTATAGGGGAAGGAGGCGGGGTAGGGGTCGTCCTCGAAATGAGGTTGGAGAGAGGGGGTAATGGTAGGTTTTGTGGGTAAGGGGCTGGGACTTCCTGCAAGTGTGCTGTGCTAGCGTGTTAGATAGGTGGAATGGAGACGATGTACTTGGGACCTGACGATCTGTTGAGTGTTGAGCCGGGGAATTATTTAGTGAAAGGGATTCAGGGAAAAACCGGTTATTTTCATATAGTCGGACTTGGAGTCCTGGAAATGGCGAAGTACAATGCCTGCCACTTTAAAGGATGGGGTTTGGGATATTGGCCATTTTGGAGGGATATGTTGTGGATCTTTCTTTATATGTGTATGCTTCGAGACTGTTGTATTCTGAGCAATCTGCAAAACAGTGATATGTGCGAGAAGTGTGTGAAATAGTGTTGAATGATGTGAAAGTATTTTCTTTTTGGGGATTTTCTTTCTTTTTTGGGTCACCCTGCCTCGGTGGTGAGACGGCCGACCGACTTGTTGAAAAAAAAAAAAAAAAAAAAAATATATATATATTAGAGGGGTAGTAGGTTGGTAGACAGCAACCACCAGGGTGGTCTTCCCGGTCCTGCCAAGCGAGTGTAAAACGATAGGCCTGGTGATTGTTTTTCATGATGGTTGGATTGCTGATGTCTTTTGTCTGTCTCAAACATATGCAAGATTACAGGCATGTCTT